CTTGGACGCGGCGGATGCACTGCTGTCCGTGGCGCAGAGTGACACCTACCAGACGGATGGCGGCTGGACAGTCCGGTGCGTGGCCCCGGCGGCGGGGGGAGATGGCCCGGCTGATCTCGCCCTTCCCGGACCTCTCCCCTGCCCGGACTAACGCCCGCTCCTTGCCACTGGACTCCCCCCCCCCCCCCCCCCCCCCCCCCCCCCCCCCCCCCCCCCCGGTGACTGGAGTTCAGCCCCCCCCCCCCCCCCCCCCCCGGCCCACCCCACGCCTGCCGCCGCGATACGACGCCACACCCCCCTGGGCGCCGGCGTAAAGCATGGCAGGGATGCCCCCGGCGATTCCCCTGCCAGGGGGCTCCCTTCCGGGCCGGCCGGACCGGGTGTCACCAGGCCAGATGCCGAAGCAGGAGCTCCCGGGGGGAGGGGGCGCTTGCTGCACGGGCGGGATGGTTCGTCCAGGGAGCGGGGGACATGGGCGTCCTGGCGGCGCCGTGGCCGTGGCCGTGCTTATGGGGCTATGGTGGCGGAGGCGCCGGCCTGGCGTGTGGCCGCGATATTGCCGGTAGTCCGGGTGGGGAGTTTCCGGCGGCGGGCCGAGCCCTGGCGGCGGTTATGGGCTGCCGGCGGGCGCGATCTCGGCGTGCCCAGTCTCCGAGTCTGCGGGCTGCCGCGGGATCCGGGGGCGTGGGGGGGGGGGGGGGGGGCATCTCGAGCCAGGAGCTCTCCGGGTTGTGACGGTCGTCTCGTCGAGGTGCCGCTGCATGTGGAAGTCGAAGGAGCTGGCCGTTTCCTTGGTCAGGGGCGGGTAGTCCATGTAGAAGACGAGGACTTTGTTCCGGCGAAGCGTCTTGCCCTATGTGTCCGGCCAGCCAATGGCCCAGGGCGGCGATGTGGCCCGGGGCCCGCGGGCACCCGCAGGGATGTGCCCATCACGAGCGGGACATTCGGCTTGCCCATGTGCCGGTGAGCGGGGAGCGGGCATGGGGGGTACATGGTCATGGGGGCGTCGTCTCCCGGGGGGTGGGTGGTGTGCGGGGGGGGGGGCCGGGGGGACCGAGAGGGAAAGGGCGGTGCGAGAAACCAGCCTGGGGGGTGGGGCGGTAAAAAACAGCCACTCGAGAAGAAGGAGGGCGACACAAACGCAGGGCGCGAATCCATGGGCAGATCCCAGAGCAACTGACAAGAGACCCATAGAGAGCGGATAAAATAACGGTCCGAGGAAGTGGCCAAGTCGAGCGTAAAGTTCGAGTCCGTGGGTAGATCATCGGCAGAAACTTACGTAGTCCGATCTTGGAAGAGAGAACAAAGCGGTCACTCAAGGGGGCGGGGAGAATTAAAGTGGCCGCCCAAGGGGGGGGTGGGGGAGGGGGGAATAAAAGTGCCTACCCAGGGGGGGGCAGCGGAAAACGCAGGGTGTAAGCCCAGGCGCCAAAGCCCAAGAAAGGAGCACGCCGGCCAAGACCGAGTAGGGAGGCAGGGGCAGCATCCCCCCCCCCCTGGGCCCGAGATTATGAAACAAAAACGCGCCCCTCCGCCAGCCAGGCTGGGGCTCTGGCGACCGGCGACACGAGAAAAAACGAGAGTAGGTGTCGGCAATCGTCATCACGTGCGTGTATTTTTGTGTCAGTTTCTCGATATGTAATAAAATTATATTCCCGTTGAATTAAAATCCACCCATAAGTAGGCACTTGCATCTTTTCCGCCTTGCGTTAGCATATGCACCCCGATGGTTTTCATTTTCAGTATAAAGCCGCTAGACAAAGACGTGATATGGTTATAGCTATGTTTATGGTTATGGTTGTGGGTTATATGTCTGGCTGTGCGACCATGTACATGGTTGTGGGTTATGCGTAAATTGTGGGGCGTGCGCATGGTTGTGGGTTATGTGATTGGCTATTGGGCCGTGCGAATGGCTGTGAGGCCATGCGCATGTCTGTGGGGCTATGAATATAGTTGTGGGGCTATGGCTACGTTTATGTCTATATGGGGTTGTGTCTACGGTTATGTCTATGGTTGTGGTTAGGCGCACTATGGGACTTGAAGTAGAGGGCCTTACGAACCAGGGAATGCGATGTCGCCTGGAAGCAGGGAGACTGGCAGCTCGCGGCCCGAGCCGAGTTAGCGGGCGAACGGAAGAAAGAAGGAACACAATAAAATAACAAGAAGGGGGTTCGAGAGGAAGCCTTAGAACTGGTGTTCGCGGGCTGGACCGGTGCTTTCGGTGATGGTGTCCCCTTTTTGGCCTTTGGGTCGATCAAGGGGCAGATCTGAGAAGTCCGCGCTCGCGCGTACCGCCGTTCCTCTCCCGGGCTCCGGCGGCCAGACTCGGCCGTTGTCTTGCCCCGCCTTCCTCTGGGGAGGAGCGCCTCTTAGAATGTCAAATCTGCCAGGGGCATCCCCGGCACGTACGGAACCCTGTAACCATAATGTCACCTCCGGCGCTGCGTCGGAACTTCGCTCCGCTCACCTCCTCCCCACCTGCCTTACCTCGCCCTGCTTTGTTTTCCCCTGCTGTCGCCTCCCCGCCAAAATCTGGCCACACCCTCCACATGATCCGGGGGATCCCTTTTTTCACCTCCCTTCCCCCGTAGGTGGGTGTTGGCGTCGCCCGTCAACGATGCAAGCCATTCTCTCTCTCTGTCTCTCGTTTTCCCCTTATTACCCATGTATTTCCTCTTTTCTGGGCACCCCTGCCCCCCTTTTCTCGCCTCCCCTCCAAGGGCTCAGCACCTTGAAGGATGGTCATTCTCTTTGCCGAGGCCTTGACTTCCCGTTGCCGTGCCTCGGTACGCCGCTCCCCTGAAGCGCTGTGACTCAGTCCCTGATGTACTCTCTTTAAAGACGCAGATCACCAGCTTTCCCTTCTTTTGTTGTCGTGTCCACGTCCGAGTGGTGACCCTCTCGGGACGGAACACTCTGGGTGGTTCAGGGAAGGCCCCCACCGGTGCCGCAGAATCAAGCACCAGCACCGGAGTGTTTCAAGCCCCTAACAAGTGCTTTGGTTTACAGGGTGGCTTGTCGGCTGCCACCACACCATTACCATAACCAAGGTGGCCCTATTTTGCTCTTCCGGAGCTGGCCACGCCCCCGAGAGGCACCAGCTCCGGATCCCACTGTGTGTAAGCCTCTCCCCCCCCCTGCGAACCAACAAGTCCCTTTCCCGACCTATTGTCAACCGGCCTTGACTCGGCCGCTTATTGGGGGCTGGTGTTAATTGAGAGAGTCACTTGGTCCAGTGGCTGTAGCAGGGTTTACACGGGCTAAGCCTAAGTCAAGTGGGTGAAGCTTGACGAAGGGTACCAGTGTGATCAGCCACCCGGTCAGTGACCTCCAGGCATGAGTCGAGGGAACATACCAACCAGCGGTTCACGGTCGTCTGTTTCCAGAGCGAGTCAGTAACTCGACTTGAGGCGAGTTAGTGGCAAGCGAAAATACAAAGAAAACTCGAATAAATAAAAGGGGTTCGAGAGGAAGCCCTAGAACAGGTGTTCGTCGACTTGACTGGTGTGTCAGCAATACTTTCGTATACTCTTCGACACACAGCTGCTAAGGCCTTCACTTTCGGAGGGTTCCCTGCGAGAGCCCCCCTTTTGACCTTTGGGATGGGTCAAGGGGTGGATATGAGAACCCCGCGGTGGGACTTGTCCATGCGCGTATCTCCACGCTCGGTCGAGCGCCTACATCGCTCGACCTCGCTGGGCCACCCGGGTCGTTATCCTAGCCCGCATTCTCGATCAGGAGAATGCTATTGGAACTTCGTCCTTCTTTGGTTTAACACGTGAGAATATTGGCCTCACGTGTTGTTCTATTCAAGCTTACATGGGGATTCCACAACAGTGGCATGAAGCAGAGGGCGTACCGAACCAGGGAATACGATGTCGCCTGGAAGGAGGGAGACTGGCAACTCGCGGCCTGAGACGAGTTAGCGGGCAAACGGAAGAAAGAATAAAATAAAATGATAAAAGGGGGTTCGAGAGGAAGCCTTAGAACTGGGGTTCGCGGGCTGGACCGGTGCTTTCGGTGATGGTGTCCCCCTTTTGACCTTCGGGTCGGTCAAGGGGCAGATCTGAGAAGTCCGCGCTCGCGCGTATCGCCGTTCCTCGCTCGGGCTCCTGTCTAGGCCCGGGATAGGCAGCCACACTCGGCCGTTGTCTTGCCCCCGCGGTCCTCCTTAGAGGAACGCCATTTAGAATGTCAAACCAGTCACGGGGTATCCGGCACGTGTGGTTTGCAACTAACAAATGATTTGGTTAATCGCGAAAAGAGCCGGCCCAGTCATGCCCGGTCCAAACTTTCCGATTCCGTCTTCGTTGGCCCCTGCCGGGCGGGATAGGACCCGCTCGGGGCATTGCTCAAAAGTACCCTTTCTCAAGCGGGGCGACTTGCCGGCGGGCGACCGCCACCCGGAAAGTCCCGGCGGCCGAAGGCAAAGAGGGGGGGGGGATTGCGCACCTTGTGCATATTGGCATCGAAGACATTGACTGCGCCGGTGCGAGGGCAGGGCGAGGTGCTAATGGCTTCCGGGTCGAGCCCCAGCGCCTGGAAGGCCCGGGCGCCGGCGTTGTGCACGCCCTCCGGGCCGCGGAAGGTCGGGATGCCGGCCGCCGTGGACACCCCGGCCCCGAGGAGGGCTATCATCCGGCGGCCGCGGCCGAAGAGCGACGCCAGGATGTCCGGCTGGTCGGGCCGGGGGTGTCCGTGCGCCGGGGCGCCGGTGAGTTGTTCGGCTTTCTGGGCATGGGGGCGTGCCGGTGGGCCGGGCCTGGAGGCGGTGGTGGAGCAGGAGGGACCAGTGCGGGGAAGGGGGGCGGGCGGAGGAAGACTGACCCGGCCGTTGGCGAGGCAAACGCCGAGGCTTTTTTGCGCCAGCCGGTGCGGCCGGCGGGCCGGGCGGGGAGGGCGTATTATTTTTTTCTTCCCCCGGCTCGTCCGCGTCCCCGTCCTTGGCAATGTGCCGGTTATGGTTGTGGTTATCGGTTATGTGGTTATGAGCGTGGACGCACGGGAGGGCGTTGAAGGGGTCCGGCAAAGGGCGTACTGGAGGAGAACAAAGAATTGCATTGAATCGGGGGTCCGCCGAAAGTGCCTCACCCTTTACATGATGCTTGCACAGTCGGGCCGCTTGGACCAAGTTGATGCCCCGGCAGCCGCGTACGCAAAGCGCGGCCCCCAGATGGGCTACACGCGCAGATGCGGGGGTTCCGGGCAGGGCTCGTTGCAGACCCCCCTTTTTGTGAGGGAGCCTCTGGCAACCGAGTAAAATAAAAATCAAGAGCCCTGACCCTGGACGGTCGCTGTCGCATTCCGAGGTCTGCGCCGCATATCGGCACCCCCGATGGTCTCTGGGTGCTCCTGGTCTCGACGTCTCGTGCGTTCCGTTGGTGTAGGTGTGGTGTCTTCACTCGGTTCGGTCGAGGGTCGAGCAGGAGGAGTGGGAGGCTCCATAGGAGTGTCTGTAGGAGGGGGGCTGGCTCTTGGACGCCAGGGGGCGGCGTGGGGGGAAGGAGGGCGAGAGGTTGTGGGCTCAGTGTCCACAGGATCCTGCGACGCTGCTGGCGGAGGGTTGGTCGGGCCCGGAATGGATTTCACATCCGGGACATGTACCAGATCGGTTGTCCGTCCGTGCGGCCTGGAGGCAAGCTTCAGTACGTTGGTTGAGGCGAGGTCAGCCGGTCGGATGGGCGGGTGTGCCGCCTGTCCCGGGGATGGGGCCATGATCTTGTCCCGGTCGGTGGACACGGGAACGACGCAGTCCCCCGGCTGGATGTTGTGCGGGCGCGAAGTCTTCGCGCGCTTCTCCGTCCGCTGTTGTCCCTCCTTCTGGTGGTTCTTCCGGACCTCGGCCTTAGTCTCCGCATGAGATGGGGCATTCAGTTCCGAGATGGATCCGATCATGTCACCCGTCGCCGGTCCATGGGCGATGAGTTTGGGCGAACAGCCCAGGGTGGTGGGTGTGTTGTTGTACGCTTCTCTGGCACGCTGAAGGCCCTCGGCGAAAGTGAGGTGCGTCCCACGCGCCCACAGGGACATTCTTAGGGGAACGCACAGCCGGTTCAGCCGGCCCATTGGGCTGCGCCCGATGGGCCAGGCTGTGGTCTAGCATGGGGCCCCTTGAGAGCATTGCCCCACGGAACGCCGCGGACAGGAACACGCTTTCGCGGTCGGTCCGGATGTCGGGGGGTTCATACTTAAAGCACGGTCAATGGCCTCGGTGAGGATGTTGGCCGAGCATCGGGTGGGTACGATTGGCGCCCAGATGTGCGGCGCGAACAGGTCGATGATAACCAACACTCGGGTGTTGTCCTTCGCCGCCCGTCCTTGGGAGACGGCGAAGCCCATGGCCAGCGCCTTGCAGGGATCCGTTGGTGTACGGGCCCCTGCAAGGCGTGTACATGCTGGAGTTTTTGGGTTTGGTCGCTGCGCAATGAGGGCATCCCCGAAGGCATGTCCCCGCTGCCTGGCTGAAGCCTGGGCCGGAGAAGCCCGCTCGGGGGATGTTCATTGTGGCCGTCATGCCCGGATGGGCAAGTCCGGCCGCATTGTGGATGCATTCAGCCAGTGACGCAGCGCCCCCCAGTAGGCACTGCGATGCGGCTCCGATCGCACCAGATCTGCGGCGTCCGTAGTGTGGGGCTGGTCCAGTGCTGCGCCGCTGGATGGCTTGCGCCCGTTCTGCCAGATCGCGGGGAAGCTCAAGACGCCGCACGTCCGCGATCTCATGGTTTCCATTGTCAGCCGTGTTGGCTTGCGTGGCTGCGATCCATGCATCCTCCTCGGGACCAAGGTCGTCCGTCTTTCTCCGCGTGACGATGTGGTCCTGCACCCGCACGCCCCTTGCATTGGTGCGCGGGCCACCAACCCCGTCCCGACGCCGCATGGTGATGCTCATCGGGAGTCGAGAGAGAGAGAGGTAGTCCGCCGCCGTGTTCGTCTCGCCGGGCGTGTGGCCAATGCTGGCAAGGGGGAACTCGAGGCGACTTGTCCATCGGGCTTTCCGCGGGCAGGTGGCTTGCGCTGTCCGCCACTGCGCGATGATCTTGGGTATCGGTCATCACCGTGATGGGCAGACCGTTCTGCGCCAGGTGCTCCCAGTGCTCCAGGGCCATCAGCACTGCCCTGGTTTCCTCCTCGTAGGCGGGGGACGTCCGTTGCTCCTTCGGGATCCGCTTGGCGAAGAACTCGACCGGCCGGCGAGCCAACGCGTCCGACCCTGCCGCAACAGGGCTGCGCCCACGCCTTCGGCCGACGCGTCGCCGCAAGGGAAAAAGGGCGCCGAGATGTCCGGGGCCCGCAGCGAGCCGATGTTGGCAATGGCTCGCTTGGTGGCTGTGAACGAGGCCTCCGCCTCCGGCGACATGCCAAAGCGTGCCCCGGAGTCGATGTTGGCCAGGTCCATCACCATAACCGCGACCGTGCTGGGGTCCGGAATCCACGCTCGGATGAAGTAGGCCAGTGAGCCTCTGCAGCTCCTGCTTGGTGGGCGGAGCCGGCGGTGAGGGGATCTCTTCGCGCCGTGCATCCGTGATGTCCATCGCGCCTTCACCCAGCTCACGCCCAAGGCATCGGCCGCGCGGTGCGCCAAAGACACACTTGTCGATGGTGGGATTGGCGCTGGCGTGGTCCAGGGCGGCAAGCACCCGGTGAACGCCACGCACATGCACTTCCCATGCGTCGGAGTACACGGTGATGTCGTCCACGTAGAACGTGCACACGTCGGCCACTGGCGCCAGGGCAGTCTTGAGCGCAGCAGAGGATGCGTGTGTGGCCGGGTTGACCCCGACCGGCAGTCGGGTATGTTTGTTGCAGCCCTGTGCCACTCGGAAGGTGAAGAAGCGTTGCATGTCTGCGGCGATGGCGAGGTGGTGGAAGTTGAGGTCCAGGGTGGCGAAGAGCTTGTCCCCCCGCGACATGCTGGGCGACCTTCGGTCCCACGGCCAGACTGTGCTTTGGGACCTTGATCCGGTCATCCGGCGCGGGGGAGTCGCCACACACTCTGATGGAGCCATTCGTCTTCGGCGCAATCCCCAGCGGTGCGGCGTGGGCGATTGGCCCCGCCGGCACCACCGCTCCCGGCGTCCAGCAACTCACGAAGCCACTCCTGAACGCCCTTCCGGCCTAATGGGGCTCTTGGGCGGGAAGGTCCAGTTGGTACCTTCGACCGGTTCAAACGACACCGCCCGGGTGTCGCGCAAACGAGGGACCCCGCGCTATGAATGTGTCAATCAAAGGCTCGCACGATGGGCCCGAGGGGATGTGCAGGCCGGTCTGCAGCAAGCCGCCGTTCCCGTGGAAGTACGTCATAGCACTGGTCCAGCGACCACCCTCCCAGCCAGGGGGGGGGGCAGATCCTCATCCCGAGCGGCCGGAGTGGGGCATCTTCCTGCATTTCATGCGGATCCACGTGCGCACTCGTGTTCGCCGGGAACAGGCGCGTGCAGATCTCGCGGCTTGGAATGCCACGAGGAGCGGCGGTGTCAATGACGATGGCTTTGGCCGAAAGGGGGCCCGCGCTTGCGGATTCCATCCGGAGCTCGCGGGTGCGGTGTGCGGTGTTGACGCGCCGGTCGACCCGCCAGTAGCGCGTGGAACCCGCCACCGTCGGAAGCTGCCCCCCCGCGAACCATGCACCTTGGCACGGCGCTCACATCCGCGCATGGTGTCCAACATGAGTTGCACCTTCGGGTGGGAGGAGCTCTTCGGCGTTCGGACAAAAGGCGAGCGCTCCGGGGCCCGGTTCTTCTTTGGCCCGCCTTTTCCCCTCCTGGCCACGTGTGCCAGCCCCATGAAACGCGGCGCAAATTCGCCGGGAACCAAGCAGGCATTGGGGTTGGTATTGCGGTTGAAGGGAACACGGGGATGGCAGGTCGGGGCGCGGCGCTTCCGCGGGCACCAGGAGTCGGGTTGGTTCGATTTCCCTCTGCCCATCGGGCCTGCGGCTGCCGGAAGCCCAGGGTCCACCAGTCCGCTGGCGATTTTGGCGGTTCTTGCCGGCCCGGTGCGCCCGGGCGACCGGGTCCGCCGATGAAGATCCATGTTGGTCGGTTGGTGCCGGTGGAGCGGAAAGGCGCCGCGCCGGCGCAGCCAGTCAGTCGGCGGACAGGGTGGCGTTTGTCGGCAGTGGTCGCAGCCATTGGGCCTCGGCGGCGCCGACCTGACGCGACTAAACGCGGTAGGCCGTCAGCGTGCCCACGAGCCCCATGGCCGGGGTCATTCGCCGGGCCAAGTACGGAGATGTCGGCCGCTCGGATCGGTCGATGAGTGTGCTCCTCTGGCCTCCTGGAGCATGGGAGGCCAGCGGCCCCGCGGCAGTCTCGAGTGAGACCACCAGCGCGGTCGACTTCTGAATCCAGGTGGCTGCCTCTAGAAGATCACCCATGTTAGCGCAGAGTGCCGAAGCGTACTGCAGCAGGTGGTGGAAGGTGACCTCGTGGGGGATCGGGCCCAAGTCCTCGGTCAGGGCTGGCCCCAGGAGGGCAATGGCGGAGGGGTCCGGAGAGTTTTGCAAGCCGAGCCCCAGAGTGTGGCCCAGCCGAAGCAGGTTCGGCCCCGGATGGTCCGCGCACCGCATGGCGGTGAGGACGATGTACTTGGGCAGGGAGGATCGGCCGATGGGGTCGGACACCTGCTGGCTGCTCAGCCGAGGGTCCTGCTCGGGGTCCTTAGCCTGAACATCGGACACCTGGTTCTCAAGCGTCCCCGGGGCCTGCAGGATCTCGCCTTCAGGCTTTCCACGAAGGCAGCTGCCTGGCGGTTGACGGCGTCGGTCGACATGCCAGCGGCCTGGCCGGGACACGCTCCGCCAGACTGGTTCTCGGTGTTTGCCACGAATTCCAGGACCTTGGAATCGACAGTGGTAAGAGCATGGCCAGCTAGCTTGGGCCTGAGAGTGGATCCGACGTCCTTGCCATGGGTGGCGTCCCATTCACGGGCGCGCTCCATAACCGCCCAGGCGGCTGTCCTCCTGGGCGGTGTCCATGTGAGAGCGCAAAAGGTCCCTCTGCCCGGTGTAAGCCGGGTGCTCACGAACCACGGGACTGGTGCGCTTTCGAGTGAGGAGGGCCGGGATGGAAGAGTCCCGTAGGTGCGCGAGAAAAAAGCTCGTCTGGGCCGTGGTCTCGGCCATGCGCTGAGCCTCGGGGGAATATGTGCAGATGTGCTCACAGGTCAGGGGGGAGACTCCCGGCAAGGGCCTCGTGCTGCTGGTGTCGGCCAGCGACAAAGTAGAGGACGAGGCGATGCCGGGCAGCGTCCAGCCGGGTCGGGGTCTTCGATGATGTCCTTGCCCGTCGTGCGAAGTGGAGACCCCTCGCACAACATGACGCGGACCAGTAGCTGGATGGATTCTTGGATGGCCTGGACAGGAATGCAGACGAGGAAGATGGGAACAGGAAAGCCCATCGGGGTCTGATGGCGATCCCAAGCGGGCGCCGCGCGTGGCGGTGCCTGACTTTCGGGTGGTTTTTGCACCGGGAAGGTGGGGCCAAGACCCCCGATCAAGGACATGTTCACTGGTGGTTGGCGCGCACGTGCAGTCGACGGGGAAAGGCGAAGAGGTCTGGGCTGGGAGGCGCAAGGGGCCTCCATTGTTAGGCGTTTTCACAGACTTTCGGAGGGTGTTGAAAGGGTTCGGCAAAGGGCGTGCTGGAGGAGAACAAAGAATTGCATTGAATGGGGGGTCCGCCGAAAGTGCCTCACCCTTTGCATGATGCCTGCACAGTCGGGCCGCTTGGACCAAGTTGATGCCCCGGCAGCCGCGTGGGCATAGCGCGGCCCTCAGATGGTCCACGCGCGCAGATGCGGGGGTTCCGGGCAGGGCTCGTTACAGGTGTGGACGCGGGCACGCACGCCGCCGGCACGGCAGCACGTGCGGCTATGGTTATGGTTATGGAAACGTGGACACATAACCGGCGGGGTGTGGGCGCGCCGACGCGGGCGGGCAAGTAGTCGCCCGAGCAGACGGCGTCGAGCGGCCCTGGGTGGTGGCGAGAAAAAAAAAAGAAAGAGTGCACGAGACTCCGGGGTCCCGCCCGCGCCGCCCGGCCGGAAGCCGATGGAATTCCGATGCGACCAGCGTACCCCTTGCCGGGACCGTGTCAGGCAGGGGCCTTGTCTCGGAGGGGGCCCTCCAAGCACGATGTGGCTCTTTTGTCCGCCGGCCCGGGGGTGACCGGGAGTGCCGAGAGCGTGTGCTGGCGCAGTCGTGCGGACCGTCACTCCGGAGAAGAGACTCGGTGCGTTGTGTGCCTCTACCATAACTAGTTGGCATGGGGATACGAGTACCACGGTGTTGCGGACGTACGTACGAATGCGCGGAGGACGGGGAGCGGAAGAGGAAGGGAGAGAAAGAGAGAAAAAAAGAAAAAAGAATTAATAAAGAAAAATAAAGGATAAGAGAAAGAATTTAATAAATAAATAAAGTAAAAAAAAGAAAGAAAGAAAGGAAGAGAGAAACAACACGGGGGGGGGGTGAACAGGCAGCGGGCCGCACGTAGGGCCCTCCGGGCGGCCGAGAGCGCCGCGAGCGGCATTATATCATGACCTCCTCGTGATGGACATCCGATACGTTGGTAGTCCCAACGGTTATGTGCTTCGGCCAAGGCTGCGGTCCTCGCTCCTCTCGGCGGCATTTGGAATATGTTTTGAGGCAGTGGGGCATCGTACATTTGTCTTCATGGAATTTTAGCTTGATGCTGAATTGACGGAGGGATCCGTGGGCCAAAGCCGGACTTGATGTTGCGGCCCAAAGACATTATCGATAACTGGTTATGGTTAAGGACAAGGCACGGCACCAGGCGGCCGCCGGGTTGTCGTCCCCCAGTTATGGCGTCGGTTACGACCACTGCCATGGTTATGGTTATCTGGTGCTACAGGCCGATCTGGAGACAGGCGATCGGAGCTGCATCTGCCTTGTGGTCACGGTCACCGTGTCGTGGTTATTGCGGTTGTAG